TTGCTCCACTGTTCAGCTTCACTGTCTTCATTAGAATGCAGCAGGACTGTATTTTAGTTAACACATTTAAACCCTTCATTAGAAAGAAAATTCAATCTAGAAAAAGTAGCAGAATTAAATTTAATCCTATTCTTACAGATCACATTAAAAATGAGACATAAATGACAGCCAAAGATAAAAGGAAAGACTATGCTTAAGCTATTGCAAGAAGCTGCCCTTCATTCCTTCAAAGTCTGTTCACCCCGGGTCTCTTCGCATTTTGTGGATACAACTGCTTTTCATCAGCATGCACAATAATACATTGATGGCCAGAGGTGCACACCGTAGCACTCATTCTTAATCCAATGCCCCCTGAGCTTCTCCAGCCAACTCTCCACACTGAGGTTTATGCATCACCCATCCCTCTAGCTCTGAAAAGCATCTTGGAAACAGCTTTCTGTACTTGTGCTCCACTTCCTTACCCTAGAGTCCTTCCCAGGCACAACATAACCCTGAGAAGAGAGTGAGGAGCCCCATGGGCCCAGTTTGCACTCTGGGCTAACTGCATGGCCCACCATGGACATAAATTGGAAAAACACTTCCTGAAGCAGTGAACGAGTTCATGGGATGGTTCAGGTCAGGCATAGTTCAAGCCAGGTTTATCCCTGTCTTCTGTCCTTTTTGCAGTGAGGAGATGCCGGCACAACTCTTCTTCATGTGTGCCATGCTGCAGTGCCTCTGGCTACATTTCTCCAATCACCTCTTTATTTTTACTCTTCTTATTCAAGACCACACCAAGTCCTGGGACTTTCTCATGAACATCCATTATCCCTGGCCAAAACTGCTGTCCATGGCCCCTGGAAAAGCAAGCTAGCCAGGGGACCTGTTTTTATTTCCTTGTCCATCCACACCTCTAGGAAGTGTACCCCTGGCCATCATGCACCAGCTCTTTCAGGGTGCTGCTGAGTGCTATTGGAGGTCTTCTTCCCTATGGTCCCTTCAGTTCCCTTTTTTTGTTTGTTTGTTTGTTTTGTACATTTTTGTCCCTCAATTCCCTTCCTTTTTTCCGTTTGTCAGCAACTATAATTATTAGGTTTTCTCTTTCCGTAATCCACCTTCTCATTTTTTTGTTGTTTTTTTAAACCAGAAAAATATTAAGGTTTCTAAAGGTCATCTGGTTTCTTCACAATAGAGGAAAATCAATAGGAGCAGTGGCCATGAGGAGTAGGGGTGCTGTCCCTGCACATCTCCTGCACGGCAGTGAGAGGGGACAGCTGGCTCAGCAGCACTGCTCCCACGCTGCCTTCTGCACCCCAGAGGAGAGGGAGATCACATCCTCCTCTGATGCCAACACATTGCACCACCAGTGCCACCGCTGCATCACCTCTGCTGCCACCATCCCCACCACTGCTGCTGACCTCCCACCCCCCTTTGCCCCCAAAAGTGTGGGGCTGCAGCAAGGCACCACTGCCCACACCTGGCAGCCAGACCCACAGGAGCTCAAGGGTGGGAAGAGCTGTTTGATGGGACCAGCTGCTATTCCTGTGATGGGAATGGGTAACCTTGGGCAGAGCTGCTGTGTGCTGACAATTTCAATCTGCTGTGTACTGCCAATTTTGATCTGCCATTGTGCTCTAGGGAAGTCTGGGAAGCACTGTTACAAATCATATATCACGTTTGTACAAAAAACAAAAAAAAAAAAAAAAAAATCCCAACCCCAAACAAACTAAAACCCAAATAATCTCAGTAGTAGATAATGAAGCTTCCAGATAGAAGGTGCACGTTTGTCACACTGGAAGCACTAACGATGCTGACAGGTACTTCTGTGACAAAAAGCCATAAGAAAGAAAGCAACTTTAGAAAAGATACATACGCAGTGAATACTACTTTTTCTTCCTTATAGCTTCAGTTCATACACAATGATCCTTCAGAGTTTATTGCTTCTGTAGCCATTGTTGTCAAATGTAGTGCATATATGTAATTTGCCATGCAGAATTTCCACATAAACAGTAAGTGCTAATTACACTGTGGAAACCAAGACAAGCCCCCTATCCTAATTCATGCAGACACACTGTAAAGAACTCCAGATATTTCTAAAACTGTTCCTTAGTGTAATCAGTGTCTGGAGTTCTATACAATCCTGTGGTAAAAGGGAGTAAAAAGCAGGAAAGGCTTTAATGATCATATATTAAAACGTACTTTGAGCACTATCTGTGAAAGAAGGGGTCACTGGAAGACATCGTATATCTAACCAAATAGGTACTGGATTATAATGGAGCTTGTTTAGAGATATCACTGCTTCCAAACTGCTAAAAACCTACGCTAGATTTGCTTATCTGGAAAAAACACTGCCCCCAGGCAGTCCTTGCCTCCCCAGTACCTCTCAGGTGCAGGATGCTGTCACCAATCCTGATCTGCCAACATAATTACCCATAACCTATCTAGTCAAGATGATGCATGTAAGGATCTGGCCACAAATTAGTGTGACAAAAACTCCTCCACACCTGTGCCTCCTCTTTAGTTCGACGCAAGAGTCATACAAAAAAAAGCAGACCTAAGTCAAACCTAAACTCCATTGAGAGTCCAGCCAGCTTCACTCAAAGATGACTCGGGCCCCTAGGAGAGAAGACACTAGCCTCTGAAGTCAGTGGCTGCTCTTCTGACTGAAAAAGAATTGTTCTTCGTTCTTAATAACTGAATATGTAACTGCAGAGGTTAGAGAAACAGTTGTTAAATTCTTAGTATAACCATTTCTGATGTTTGTATATGCTGTGGACTCCAAAATGCTGGAGGAACATATTTATTATGAGCTTATACGGTCACAGCACACTCTCTGTAGCTGTTTTCTAGGATGTGTAATTCTAAATGCATTCAGTATAAACAGATTCAGCATTATTACATCTTGATTCATTACTGATATTAAAAGAAGGATATAAAATTATATGGAAAAAGCAAACAATGAATGCTCCAAAGCCATATAAAAAGTAAATGAATGAATCCTTGAACATTAAATCACCAGCATTCCCTAACTTTATATTTCACTAGAGAGATTAATTCCTCTGCAAATAATGTCTTCCCTTTTCAAATAAGATACCACAATCATACTTTTAAACAGCAGAAATAGAGCAGAAAGAAAACTGCAAAGTTTGCTTGGCTCTCCAAGGACCATTTTTGACATACTCTTTAACTGAGGTAATCAGAGAGCTACAGGTGTTCACTTTAAGTTACATTTTGCAAGCTCTTCTTCAAAAATATAATCCATTTTCATAAGTTACAAAGTCTTTAAACACAATTATTTTAGGTCCTGATTCAAACACCACTTAAATTGATGACCACTGAAGACTACCCTCAGGTAGAATCAAACAACTTATTGAGCTGGCTAAAAAAAAAAAGTATTTAAAAAAAAAAAAATTACAGTTATACTCTTTAAAAAAGGATTAAAAGTTTTAAAGAAACGTTACTGTAAGTGTGAAGATACATTTCTAAACTCAAGCCTTTACATCATGCACCAATGTAATGCATTGGTTTGGCTTAAAATCCAACAAAAGAAAATGAGGTAATTCCTACAGAGAAGGAATTAAACATTCTCATTTCTGGCTAAAATAAAAGATTGTTTAAATAAGGGAAGAGTATATAATCTCATTTAATTGAAGGTTGCCAATTACACGGCAAGATTTTGTCTTTCACAGACTGAAGCACAGTCCAACAGCCACTCAGTTGCTATAAATCCCTTAAGTATTCATTTATAGTAATTGGGAAGAAAAACTTGGGGTCCAGCTCTCTACTTCTTCCTAAATTGACAAGTATCGGAGACAGAAGTGTTACTTTCTAGTTTGTTTTGGGGTATTTTCTTTTTTTTTCCTTTTTTTTTTTCTTTTTTTTCCTTTTTTCTTTTTTTTTTTTCTCCTTTTCTATACATTCAGAAAAAGCCAAAATGAACAGCTTAAACACAAGTTTAAAACTGACAATTACAACATAACAGTTTGATGCCTCTGAATTCCCAGACACTGAACTAGGTCTGGCAGTCACCTCTAGTAACTCGCTCTGCTACTAGGGCACAAACACACATACATACACACTTCCTCAGCAGAGAAAACCCCAAACTGATTAAAAATACCTCTGTGCTTCACTTGATCTAAGCTGCTTACTGCCTGTTGACACACCACTGTGGCTTGGCATGGGTCATCTAAACCCTTCCTCTAACAAATAAGATTTCAAGACTTGGGCTGTTACCGGACCATCTCAGAGGCACAGAAGACAGGACTAAACCCAGTTCTTGCAGCTGGCACCCTGGAAGCTGGAGGCCCAGGTGCAACCATTTCCAGAAACTCTTTAACTTATTTTATAGATCGCAAATCACAAGCTCACTGTAAAACTGTAGCAGAAACAGGAGACATAGTTTTCTCAGGGACCAGGCTGACCTTGACAAGCAAGATCAAGGTAAAAGCTACACCGCTTCCTCTCCCACTATAGTTTTGCAGAGGTGGGTCATTTCAGTTACATCCCTCTCTGCAGAAACAGACAGCCCTAGCATAGAGTACATACTCTCAGAAGCCTCTCCGCTTTACAGAAGGAACCATTAGAAGATGACAAGATATGCACAGAAAACTCTGACATGGAAGCTGAGAAAAAAAAAAAAAATGGCATGAACGAGACAAAGAACAAGGCTGCATCATATCCTCCATCCCTCAGTGTGCCCTTACAGCGCGGTGCCACAGAGAGGGGACCACTCGCTGTGGCTCACGTGAGTGAAGCAGAAGCCTTTGGAGCAACAGCTGAGCAGTGCTGCAGCAAGTCTTGTATTTATTAAACTAGGCAGAAGGTGGCCAAACCAACCTGTTAGTACCAGACTTGCCATCAGTCAGTGAGGGAAGAAGAAGCACAGGCACCTCGCAAGTTGGGATGAGGGGGCTGCAAACCAGGGATACCTTGTCAGAGGGGTGCTTTACCTTTCATGCCAGCTCCAGCTAGCCTTAGCCCAAGCTGCAGAGAGCTCAGAAGGGGCAGCCCAGCTTTCCTACCTGTCAGCACTGAGGGCGGTGAGGGTGAAGACAGAGACACCAACAGAGGTGAGCTGGATGGCAGGGATGAGCCTGCAGCCCACCTCCCCAAAGAGCCACTCCTCAGAGAAATATCGGGAGGCATCCACGGGCACACAGGTCACTAGCAGCAGCAGATCACCGGCAGCGAGGCTGGAGATGAAGATGTTGGGCACACTCCTCATGGCGCTGTTGGAGATGAAGATCTTCATGAGGGTGATGTTGCCCAGCAAGCCCACAGTGATGATGAGCAGGTAAAGCGAAGGCATCACACAGCGGATGATGAACATGGCTGTGCCCTGCCCCGGGGACAGCAAAGCTGTGTCTGGCACCAGCTGGGTGCTCCCATTCCCCCCAAGAGGCATTGCTGTGAGTTCGGGCGGCAGCTCTGTCTCCATCTTCCACCTTCGGGCAGACTGAGGTCCTCTCAGCTTCACCTCTCTGCAAGCTGACCAACTTTCCCCCCTTCCCTGCTGCCTTTTTTCCTCCCCCTTTTTCTCTGCCGAGTTTTCTCCCCTCAGAAATGCGGAGGAAGCACTGTCCGCCGGCGCGGTGGGGCGGGGGCTAAAAATTCCCGCGCCACTGCCTTTCAGTTCTTTGGACAAGCCCCCTCCCTGCTGGGCGGGAGGGCGAGATCCTGAGCCTCGGGGGCA